TTGAGTAGTGCTTTATATCAAAAATGTAGCTCCTGATTTCCCTGGATGGCACACAGAGAAAATTTTACTCGGACAGCAGGGAAGCATCACAACTCCTCTAAAGTTAGGACAGAAAATGTTCACCAATGCAATACGAGAGGGAAAAAAAATCAAATGTTTTTGTCTTGTGCTGCTCAAAGCTGTCCAGTACAACGATTTAGTCTGCTCCTCAACATAGACCTTGTGTGATCTGTGGAGAGCAAGTCCACCTCATGGATTTTTGTCAAGTCCCACCAATTGGGTGCCTTGCTCTAAATTCATAGCTGGGTGACACTTGTGGGTCTGGAAGCCTCCTCTAAATTTGGAAGTGCTGTTCAGATTACATCCTCCAGCTGCTGAAGAGATTTTCTTACAAGCAGTTGGTTACTCAAATACCTTGTGCCTCCCTAGACACAGCCTCTCTCTCAGCTTTCAAGTCCAGCCAGCCCTACCTCAGTCATTGCTGTGTTTGATTCATACCATCTATATCTCGTAGTGCTCCTAGCAATTGATAAATTATGACTCCAGTGAGACTATTGGGTTAAACGCTAAGGAAGAAAGAATGATGACAGTAATACTTGTCATTTGTGTGGCAATGTAGCAACACAAAACTCTAAAACATATGTTATCTTGGAAGAACCTTTCCAGGGGATAGGCTTTCTGAGAAATGTTTATGGCTTTTGAATACATGATAGGCATGAACTTGACATGACCTACTTGGCCAAGCCCTGAGCTTCAGCCTAGTCTTTTACCACCACAAATCAGTCTATTCGAAGTATAGCCAGACTGATATCTTCACTGGCATGGCAAGGTTATAGCACATAGCAGCTTGAGAAAACACAGGATAGAGGCTACTTTGTTCTCAGGATTTAAAGACTCAGAAATATCTTTACTAACACCATAAGAAAATTGCTAATTTCTACCCATATAGAAAAGCCAACACAGGCTCTGGGATGATTAAAATATTTGACGCTTGGTTGAAATGAGCGATTGACATCCTTATAGTATACATGGATCCCTCCTTTATCTTGGCATTGGAAAATGCAAGTTAAAGCAGACTTTGTAAAGGGTTTCTACTAAATATCCAAGACACAAGAGCTGTTTTTTCCTCCTGACTTACCACAGCATCATGCTGCAAGATTTTCTGCAGCTTCATCTCAGCCTTCATACCATCCTTTCAGCTTGCTATGTCAAATTGTCAAATTACACTGACTTTTCGTTTTGTTGTTTAATTAAATATTGTGGAATTAGAGAAATTGGGTAAAAGGTGGCATATGTTTCTGAGGACTGAGACACCTGTAAAGGAACCTAAAGTCTCTAAAGGCCTTCTCCCCAGCATGGCACTGAATAGCACCAATTATGTTACAGATAAAGCTGTAGTCACTGAATTAACTGAACCCAATCAAAGCACCAACAGTATATGCAGTCTGTAGGGGCATTCCCTGCTGAGAAGATGGGAATCCTAAACAGTCATAAAGGAGTTATTATCTGGGACCTCTCACAGGACCACTTTCCTTTCTTCCTGGGATAGTTTATATATAAGGAACCATTGACCTGGCTGCTCTCGTCACCTAGCTGTAGCAAAGCCACCAACACACATATGAATCCAAGGAGGTGGCCATAGGTGCAGGCAGGGATGGCAGCACAAACAGCCCGTGTCATACTCTGGGTCACTCTGCATCATCAGAATGACCTGCTTGCAACAAGCCTCTGATTGCAATCCTCCTGCTAGCTGTAATTAAGGAAATTATGTTGCATAGTACAGACACCATTATAGTTGCAGTACCAGCCAATTCAAAATTAATATAATGGCAAAATGTCTCCTATGCGATGGAATCATTACCCTAATACAACTCCAATAGAGCAAAGATTAGGAATGTTTCATATCATCATTCAGAGACTAGTATTTTAAAAGTGTATTGCTCATTCATACAACACACATCTCAGAAACAGATCCACTACCAAAAGTCAGTATAGAGGAGTTGAGCTGAGAATCATTAAAAACATATTTTTTAAATGAACAGCCATCACATTATTACATACAATAATTTTCCTTTCACACTAATTTTTTAAATCTATCCATTTCGTTATAAAACATGACACAAAGTTTTAGTCATAGCATTGTTTTCCTTAAACATATGCATTTCAGTAATGACACTTGCATGTATAAATTTAGTGAGACTGATACCAGAACTGAGTAGTCATTTATTCAGAAAAAAAAAATTATCTTGTTTTTCTGTCTGCAAATTTTCTATGGAAAGCTACTCTTTTTTCAGTGCATTCATTATTCAATATATTAGTTGAATAGTCCTACTGAGGCTTCTCTGCTTTTGAATCATTTGCAGCCTGTTAGTTGCAGTTATTTCACATTTGAAATTTGAACTCTAGTCCTTCCTTTTTGTTGGAGTTTACACAAACTGATGCTATTCTCCAGTTTAAAAAAAGTGACCAGAATGAAAATGAAATAAATTTTGTACAGACCATCAGCAGTTCACATCTGTGTTTCAGCAGGACTAAATTCCTTATCTATAATACAATATCCATGCACGCACAAGCTGAAAGTCATCTTAGGAGAATTCTGAAGAAGCAGTCCCATCTTATAAAGACTATTATTCCATAGCTTTAAATATCCATGTAGCACACAGTACCTCCTTTTGCCAGATATGCAGTTATTTTCCTTCTAGAAACAATTCTAACAAAACAGAACAAAACAAAAAAAATCCAGTCTTTGAAGGAACACTTCTCTTTAGGTGCAGTGTATGTCACAGTTATCTGCCCAGCTTCTGTGAGGCTTAGGAAAGCAAGGCTGACAGCAGCATTCAGTCCTCTGAGGTGATAGGAAAATCAACATATTTATACAGTGGAGAGGGAAAGAGAAAAGGATAACAGGCAGCAATGAATAAGAAAAAACCAAAACAGTTTAAAACAACTTTACAGGGAGTGAGAAGTGCCCTAGAGTGGTCATTAGCCACACTGCAAGGAATTAGGTACATCAAAAAAGGGGAACATTTGCTGCAGATATTATGAGGTGGGAAGGATTGGAGGAGGTTGTTATTCTTGAAGTACTTAATGAACTGGCAGATGGCCCTGTGGTGAGGGCACAGGAAATCCAAGTCCCATTTCTGCTGCAGACCTCCTGTGTGGGATCAGAGAAGTGTCCAAGATCACCAGCAGGAGCCAGGCAGAGCTGGCACAGGGGACAGTGGGGTGGCCAGTGTCAAAGCAGCAATCAAAATCAATGGGGAATGCCTGTTCCAGTGGGGAATTCCTCCATGCCACCTCTTGCATAAAGCCATCCAAAATGGGCAAAAACATCTGCTTTTGTTTTCACAGTAAAGGCTGACACTGGGGGAGATATGCACATTTGGGAGGGGAGCACATTCCAAAGTGGAGCACTTTGTAATGCTTTTGTAACAATACAAAACCACTCTGGGAACATCACTTGGTGAAAATTACTGTATCCAAGAGGCCAGAGCTGCCAAGAAGGTGGCAGGAGAAGGTGCACAAAGGGCTCTTCTTGGCAGCTGGGTAGCAAGGCAGATCACCCCACATGCATGGAAGAAGGGTGACTTGTGGGGACTATTCCGTGACCTGACACTTCCCTCCTCCTTTTCTATGGATATTTCAGGGAATTAATTGCTCCATTTGCCCTTCAGCTAAGCACTGTATTAATATGAAGGTGCAACGAGCTCTCACAGGAGGCTAGCCTTCAGATCCTCTTGCTCTTTGTGCATGCAAAATAAAGTTACACCAAAACATGAGCTTAGAGCTAGAGAAATTACCTAGGTGGGAAACTAGGAGAACATTTCACCACAGATGGTGTTTGAAAAGAAATGGTCAATGAAGGTGCTTGAACTTAAATACAACCTATTTGTTAACAATATATATGTTCAGCAGAAAGATGTGAGATTTCAGGTTTGCTGTTTAACCCTAAACCACCCCTCAAACCATTTATGTAGAAGGCATGCTTCAGGCTGTGCCAGAGCAAGACTTTGACTCACTGACTACAACTTCACCCATGTCCTAGACAGGTGCTTCTCTTTTAAGGCTCATGAGTTGATAGACTTCCTACTATCTCTGCAATGCAGATGTTTAGCTCATTTTTAGAATGTACAAAAAGTAAAGTTTTAATATTTTCTTAGAACAGAACTCTGGGAAAAATGTAATTTCTATTCCTCTCTTAAAAAATCCTCCCAACGGTTCAAACCCACAGCTAACACTGTAGAGGAACCCCTCTTTCAAAAGAAATGTACCATATGGAAACAGAGTAATTCCAGAGATAAAGTGACGCCTAAAAAAAGTGCTTCTCCTTGTAACTGAAGTACTTGCTTCAAGATTAGAAATGGGATGGTTCTTGGAGGGAGCAGAGAGGAGAGGAATGCAAATTAAAACCAACTTACTAAAAAAATTAGTCAATACTCATATAAATGACAGCTGGAATCACTGTAACTCATTCAGTATTTTTCTAACATGAACATTTGTCACGAAGAAAAAAACGGTATGGCCAGTAAATACCGTTGGAAAGAACCAAATTACTCCTTACAGAGTTTTCCCAATTGAAGTTGACAATTAATAGCTAACCAGGGCATAAGATTTTGCATGACTACTTCTACTCAGTCCAGATCAGTGTGTTGAGCAAATTAGAAGACAAATCAGATTAAGTATATATAAGGAAGCCCTAGTTACCTGGTTAAAGGAAAACCTCAGCATACCATGTTAATACTTTGTTTCTACACCCCTTGAGGAGATATATTTATACAAGACTTTTCCATAGCATTACTTTTTTCCATGTAAAAGGAGAAGTCTTGTGCTGGCATATCAACGGCTGGGCTTTTTCACTGTGCTAATAATTGCATCTAGAATTCCAGACAGTAGAAGGAACTTCCTCATTTCCTATGAAGAAAATAATCTTTAAAAATATAATGAAGTTTTAATCAACTATTCAACAAGGTGAGAGGAAGAAAGGTGATATCAGCAATACCTCTGGCTGGTGGTGAATGTCTGCTCTCCCCTTTCAGGATGGCCTGGGACTCCTTGTGCAGCCAGGACTTACGGCGGCCTAGGATAAGAAGTGCCTCAAGCTGGATGCCCGGCAGTGGGAGCAGCACTGGGACACCATCCCTGGAGGAGCTGCGGCGCCTGCTCTGCACACGCACACAGCCCACAGGGCACGTTGATGAAGTCTGGCCAAACCTTTATGTGGGAGACCTGTAAGAGACAGGAAGGGCTGAAGGTTATTGCAACTCTTCCCCCAAATCTTCCACTCTTTATTTAAAAACAGAGAGCTAGGCACTAGTTTGGGGACCTATCACAACAGGTCTAAAGTGTTGAACAAGATTGAACTGTGCATACAGTGCTGTAGCATAGCAAAAATGCACCCCAACTGACTAAAAAGAATATCCCCCACCTCCTGGTGTCTCCTCCTGCATGAGTGCAGGAGTAACACGCTGCAACAGCCCACTAGAGCTGTGGCATTGGTACTTCAGGCACTCATGCCAGAGCTGGGTAAAACATGATGAAGCTCATTTTCTCCTTACTTGGCCAGATGGCATCAGTCCTCTGAACTGATGAATACTCAGCAGAGGTGACTTGGTAAGAAACTCCTTGAAATCAAAAAACCCTTAGCTTGTGCAGAAATACCTCCACCACTGCTTTTCATCTGTTGAGAGCCACTACACATATGTTTGGGAAAAAACTGAGGGAAATCTAAGAGTTAGTTTCTTAACAAATCACTTCTGTCTTAAAGCATTTTGATGGACACTTTAAACATGATCAGCCTGTCAAAAAAATAGTCAATACCACTTCCTGCAGTTGTAACAAACTCACCATCAGCAGCATGTTCTTCCCTGTGTTGCAATGCAGCAGGCAAATATACTTCCCCATCTTTTTGCAGGTACGTTGCTCGTGACAAGGCACAGCTGAGCCGCCTGGGCATCTCCCATGTTGTGAACGCTGCTGCCGGGAGATTCCGCATCAACACTGGGCCCAAGTTCTACAATGACTTGCCTGTGGATTACTACGGAGTAGAAGCAGAGGACAACCCAAACTTTGATCTCAGCATTCACTTCTATCCAGTTGCTCACTACATCAGAGCAGCACTGAATTCCCCAAGAGGTAACTAGACCATCTGTGCATGTTGCATATCTTCTGCATAGCAGACAAGCAGGGCAAGTTATCAAATATTATCTGACATAAACCAACCCACCTGCATGGGGGTAAGAATGGAGAAACCCAAACAAAGTAGCATCCTACCTGCCTCCTGAAGTCCTGGTGGTAGTTCTCCTGTTTCCCTGAAACAGGGAAGGATGCACTGAACGCACTTTTAAAGAGGTTCTCCCTATGCCTAGAATTATTCATCAGCAAAAGACAAAATAGCAAGTGTCCTTTATTACCTACAGGGACACACTGACCTGGGAGGAGTCACATAATTTGATCTTTTCAAATTAGTGATGAGATTTAAAATAAAAGACAAGGGCAAGTGTCATATAATGCTACAATCTGTGCAAGTCCTACAAACACAGACTAGGGAAGAACTTGCTAGAAAGCAACTCTATAGAAGGGAGATGAAGCAACACCACCATCCAGGAATAATGGCATGCTGTTGCTAGAAAAAGTGTAACTTTGAAATAGGAAGAAAATGCACAAAATCCTCGGATTCACTAAATACATGCCAGGTACAACACCAGAGGCTTGGGGCCAATGGGAGATCATTACTACTAGGGCAAGCCTTCACAAAAGCAAGTCATCACTGTACAGATACTATTCAAAAGTAAGTGATTTAATAAGAGAACAATTGTACACTCAGCAAACCATTTTGCTTGCATCATGGTGAGCTTTAATTGCAATCAGGGTCCTAAAGTACTAACTCCCCAGCTTAATTGTATGCACTAACAGATCTGATCCACACCATACTAGCCAGGGAGGGGAGGCACAGTAACTGCAAACAGTGTATCTTCATACTAGGTATCTGTGCATTTCCTGCTCTTTGGAGGGCTTGTTCTGTTCTGTTACAAAATATTTGCCTTTGTGCAACTTAGGGCTGCATTTGGGGAATTTGAATTTTCAGTCATTTTTATTACAGCATATGCTATTTGCAATTGAAGTCATTATTGGCAGTGCTCCAGAGAAAGGTAAGATCCAAACTCTATTCATGTGTGTAAAAGCAAAGTTCCAAATCAATTGACAAAAGATGGAAAACAGCTGATGACTTGTAGAAGCCACAATAGCAAACAAAATTAGTGCTTTGCAAAAAGCATGCCGAAATACTAAGTTATGAATGCATAACAAGTTACAGCTCAAGGCATACTTATCCCTACTCTCATGCTTTTAAATATTGCTTTACTGAACTCATATGGAAGTAGAATTCTGGGAATGGAGACAAGGTGAAATTTAATCATATGCTGTCCAGCTGTTGCTGACATTCATCATTTTGAGGAAAGTGCAACAGTTTAGAAAATATATAAACAAGATGTTCTGGAAGCATAATTTCCTGAGGTACAGAAATTTAGCAGCTAAATACCCATGACTTGTGCAGGGATGAGACAGGGAGGGGAATTGTTACTCATATCATTTAGAAAAAGAAAAAAAGTAGTGTTTATTATAAGCAGTGAAATTGAACAACAAGAAAAATACACCAGGTGACAAGAGGCCTGTCCATATTAAATAGAGGATGTAATGAGGCACTACTGTTTGTTTGAGAAGTCATTTAATTTAAGACTGCTGCTTAACTATTACAAACAAATTCAACATAATTTTTTCTTTAATGGAAATATATTACCCTTTTTACCTAAGGGGACAAGTCAAAGTTAAGACTATATGAAACACAAACATATTTAAAACTAAGAATCAAGTACTCATTAGAATTATGTAAGAACTATTATTTCCATTATGCCTGAAAAAAAAAAAATGATCTGATGCTTTAGACCACAAGTCCAGAAAACAGCACAGACATATTTATTCCAGATTTCTACCTTAGCTGAAAAGAATATTATCTTTGGTGATGTAAGGAGTTTGTTTTTAAGGCAGTTTCTTAAAATTCAGGTGCCGGAGTGTGAGCAAAAGGAAGCAGAGCGCTGTGCACTTGGGAGCTGTTCTTGTCACAATGGTCAGTGGCTGCATCACACCTTGACTTCCTTCATCATCTTTGTTGCAGAAATTAGAAAATACATGCACTACTATTGCCACATAAACATTATTTTATCATCCCTACTTCCTTGACTGCCTTTCCTTCAGCACAGCCCAGCAGTTTCTTTGCCCATGTAACAGAGCTGTGTGGGGAGGCTCAGACAAGAGTGAGTAGATGCACAATCTGTCCTTTCCCCTACAAGGAGAAACATGGAGTTGGGAAAGTACTGGCCTCCTCCCTCATACTCAGGCTCAAAGGACAACACCTTGAATATCAGTCTTGACCCTCTGCATGACCACCTGTGCAATTTGCATTTCTCTGGAGTGCAGCTGAACCTAGGGTAAATCAGCAGGGGTTTGTAAAGTCTAACAGAATGAAGAGGCAAAGAGAACTTGATGAAAGCATGCCATGAAAACCATTAAACTAACACTGTGCTGACAGAAAGATTCCCAAGTAGAGAGCTTTGCCTTTTATTGACCTCCGAACATGTTAAAATCACCCATTAAAATCTTAAAATGGCAGACTCTCTCTCAGTCATTTCCCTTCCTCCACTTCAGTGGAGCAAATGAAAAGCTAGGCTCCCTCTCCTATCACCTTCTTGTTGGTGGGAGTTATGAAAGCTGCTTAACTTTGGAGAAAAGGGTCTTCTTGCATGACTCCACTGTAGGTGCATTACATACATCAGTCTGACCTCCCACTCTGCAGCAGATGACAGCTCTTACCTGCTCTGACTTGCCACTATTTAAAGCTCTCCGTAGGCTTCTTGCTATTTTCAGCTGTGACAAAACAGATACTGGATTAATCACGAAACAGGCAGTGGATTCTGCACCTGGCTAAAACCTAACAGGAGATGAGAAAATAGTGGAACGAGCCCCTAGGGCCCATTAGCCCAGCTGAGCTCTCCTGCTGAGCAGAATACTTCTGCTGGATCCAATGGACCAAGGGGGACAGTTACTATGGGTGACAGATCTGGAGCCTCATTTTAAGACAAATTGAATCCATCCTGCAAGAAAGCAAGGGCTAGTTTAGGACATTTTGCTCATTTTAGGACATTTTGCTCATTTAATGATGATTAGCAAAAGGACAATAAGTTATTATGTGTTTTAATGACTGATCTTGTTCAACAACATTGAATTTCCCAACTTGAATTTGGCCAACAAAGTTGAATGTGCAAACTTTATCCCTAGTACAAACCCTTTGATGTTAGTAGAGTTACAGCAGGCATGAGCTGGATAGAATATCCATAATCCGCTGTTAAAAACCAAGTGTTATTGTTCTGCACAAATCCCAGACAGATGACAGTTATTGTCAGCCTCTGCAAAAAGTAGCTCGAGATGTGTGGTGCAAAATTTCAAATAAGGATTGCAAGATTTAATAATGCCAGAAGCTAAGTGCCCCTACTTCTCCTCAGTTAATCCCATTATTCCTAAGGGATCCTATTTCATGCTCAGAGAGAAGGTTGCAACACGGTCCTCTAACGTGGGACCAGTCCAGCTTCTCTTTGCACTGTACGTTAAACCAAATGGGGGTGGGGAAGGCAGAGTTGGAAGATGGCAGCTCATGGCATGGATTCTGTGGTATAGGAGATGAGGTTATAACCTCCTTGCCTACCACACGGCAGGGGAACACACAACTGCCTGTGTGAACGCTGCTCTCCGTGGCTGTGCTCCAGCAGCCACCCAGGAATCCGAGCCTGAATGCTGGGACATCTCAGCTGCATCCCACGAGGGGCTGATGGAATGGCTGGAATCGCCCACCACAGTCACCCACGGAGCAGACGTGCTTCAGGCACTGGTCACATGCAGGGTGGCACCAGAATGTCACTTCACCCATTTGCAGCCACTGCTAAGAGACGAGGCTCTGACCCTGTAAACAGAACCAAATAGCAACACAGCTTTTGTTTCCTTATTCAAGTTCAACATTCAATTTGTTTGCTAAAAATAATTGCACAGTAAATTCAAATCTGCTTTCATTAGAGCAATTTTATATTAATTAAATCATTTCACATGACTGATTTATCTGCAACAAACAAGTCATTTTATTGTCAGTGTACCAGCATTTATCATAGCCTTTGTTTCACTATGCACAGAGGTTAACAATGTTGGAATAGATATTGCACTTGTAAAAGAGATAATATACCTACATCCTCATGGGAACAAGTGATCAGAGAACCACGCAGAGTAGGACCAAGGTCAATACTTGGGGCTTGTCCAGGTTTTTGCTGAGACACCTTCTTAAGCTCTTTGCTGATACAGGAGGACTCTTCTGAACTGCAGATAAGCCAGAGAAATAGGGAAGAAAATTCAGTGTATTCCTTCTGGGCACACAGTCTTCTCTCAGACACAGACACAAAACAATAGAGAGCCAGCCTGTACAAGCAGGAGCCTGGCATTTGTTCTGCTTTCTGTGCCTCCAACAAAAACACAACAGGCAATATTTAACAGCAGCATTTATACCCTTGCTCAGCTTGGTCTTCAGTTCAAGACTGCTGGTGGGGCAGAGCATTTTCAAAGGCAGAAGTTCTTCATACAGGTGGGGTGGGGGAGGGGGAGAAAAAGGATCAAAATATTTTACAAAGAACTAGATTCAGACCATCAAATCTCCTGTCCCCAATCCAGTTTATGCACAAATTTAGATTTAATTTCAAAATATATAGTGATGCAAAATCTAATCTAACATCAAGGCCATTTCTTTCTAGTTTTTTCTTGTTTTTCTCCCTTATGATGCAGCTCAAACCACAAATTCTTCTTCAGTTGTAGAGTGCTGGTAGCTCAGTGGTTTTCAGACAAATTAAAAAAAAAAAAAAACAACAAGGAATAGTGGTTCTGATTCCAAGAAAAATGTTGAGAACATTTTATTCCTTGGCTTCTGTTATTTGGGGTGCACATTTGGGTGAATGTCTGGATTTCCCATTCCTGTCACCACATTGCAGTTAGAACTCCTGCAAACTACTGAAGCAAAGATTTCTCAAAAATCTTTTGGCCTAGCCCTATTTGCAGTGCTTCTCAAAGTGAAATCGTGCTCCTGATTCCTTTATGCTCTTCTGAAAATCTCAGACTAGGATTATTTGGATCCCAAGTGCCTCCTCTGGGGAAGATAATACAGCATACATACCCTGCAAGGTTGGTGGGAAGGCTAATGGAAGTGCAGCACATTGAAAAAGAAGTCTGATGGAAATTCAAATTAGCATTATCTTTTAGCAAGGGTTCAAAACATTTCTCCATATGCCCATAAAAAGCAGGACTTCACTTTCAAGAATTTTCATGAAGTTAATGGAATTGACAGATAGATGCAATTTAACTTGAATAAGGGCATCAATATCTCAGTAAATTCTATGAAATTGTATCTGAATGAGAAAACAGAAATTCTGCAAAACTGGCCTTACATTGGAAAACTTCTTCCTTCCCCCAAAGGTTTTGATGCCTGGTCCAAGTCTGCTGTCACCAGAGCTGTTTTTGCCACTTCCTTGGAGACTATATTTGTCCCTTTATTTCTACTGAAGACATGTCTATCTTTAGGGCTGCACTCGGATTTCTCATGCCGGGATAATGAGAGGTGGCTGTGTCACATACATTGTGGAATTCAACACTTCTCTCAACCTGCTGGCCAGAGCAGGTTTTCACAACACATGCTCACCCTCTCTGAGCATGTGGCTATGCCATCATCATTAGTCAGAACGGGAATGGTTGCTAAATAAATACTCTGTCATAAACAAAATGGGATTTAAGATTAAAAGCTGTGCACAAAGTACACAGAATTAACACCTGGGGGGATGGGGGCAATCAGTCTGAGGTTTTTGTCTGGATCATCCAGATCATCATCCAACAAGGATATTTTTGTCGTGCTCCCTAGTAATAGAGAGATTAAGATGCTGTAAGCACGAACAAAACAAGGAACTCGGCCTGAAAAGCTGTCTGTTCTTTCTACCCCTCCTGACATTTTGCAGAGAAGCAGTATCTGAGATAGTCTATTCCATCTCCAAAGGAAAAAAGCGAAATAGGATTGTCGTCACTGATTTTTCATATTTTCTGGATATAAATTTTACTGCACTAAATAGTGTTTTGTCCAGCTATACAACAAATGAACAAGAGACCACATGTTTGACAGTCTAAAAAAAATAAAATCTGAAAAAAGGTAGAAAGTACTTTGCTTCAAACTTGTGAAGATTTCTAGTGAAGAACTGTGCAGAAATTTCCATGCTAAAAGGACATTTTCTTCAGCTGCCTTAATCGGAGGATGTCCATTTGGTGGTCAGAAGTTCAGATCTGTTTCTAATCACTTGTTACTCCAATAATGCTGAGTTACTGGGCCACAGCCTCTGTGAGAAAAATAGATCTGACTGCAGCAAAGGACAAGAGAGCTTGAAAACGTTCAAGCATGGTTATAATTGAGTGGAACAGTTATACAACAATTGAGTTTCACCCTCAAATAAAATTTTCTCATTGATTTTACCATTTTTTTGAAAGTTGAAGCATTTTACAATATTTACAAGATGCAAATTTTTGGGTCCCAGAATGAGCTCTTTGTTTACATTTAGAGGGAAAGGACCACAAACCTGAATTCTTCCATCTGAGAGCAGAATTTTCCTTTAATTAAAAAACTTTCTTTAATTTCAAATAAGACCATTTAAAAAAATATTCATCTCCTTCCAATGGGTCAAAGTCATAGAGAAATCTAGGAGGCAGTTGCAATACAAAATTTAGCTTCTTAGGCTGCTTCCATTCATGATCACAGCAGGAAAACCAAAAGCAGAACAGAGGGAAGGAGGGAGTTATCCTGCTGGATCTCTGGAAGGTGTTCCCTGAGGCTCCCTTACAGCAACAGGGGAAGGATTCATTATGTTACTCTTAATGAACTCCTGACGAAGATTCACACCTTGCACTGAAATCTCTGGAAAACTAAAAACATTTCATAAATTGTCTTCCTACTGGTTACTTAATAAACCAGGGGAAAATAGAGGCATTAGGGAAGGACAGTGATTTGTATGGGGTAGGCTATAGAGATAAAAATGCCTAAGTTAGCCAGTGCAAATGCCATATACAAACAGCTGTTCTTAATGATAATGCCCATTTTCTTCACACACTTTCTAAAAAGCCTGGGCAGCAGTCAATAACCTCAGAAAGCATTAGTGCCCTAAGCAAAGAGGAAAAAAAGAGTTTGTGGAAAACCAGGAGTGTTGCTGTGACAGCAGTGAGCAATCCTGAGCATTGCACTTCTGAAATCCCAAGTTTCCAAGCCTCTCTGGTAGTAAGTAACCTGCCAAGGCTGCTTCCCACATCATGGTCTTCAAGCGTGACCTCTTGAAACTTGGCCGGCAAGTACATCACTCCCAAAACCACACGTGGGCAAGCAGGGACACAACGGATGGCAGGCTGGGCAGGAGGGATAAGGATGTGCTGTCAGGCTGACAGCTATGCTCAAACAAGCAACCATGGATCCTGGAACACAATTACGAATTTTCTGTCCCCAGCCAGTAAAACCCCATACTCCCCAATCAGGGGAACTGCACCAGGGCTGCTCTGCAGGGCTGTATACAGCTGCTGGCCCATTCCCAGTACCAGCTTCCATCTCTGCTCCAACACAATAACCCTCACCATGAGGCCTGCTGGCATAATTGCAAATCTCTCTCCTTTTTCCAGGCAAAGTACTGGTTCACTGTGCAATGGGAATCAGTCGGTCTGCAACTCTTGTCCTCGCTTTCTTAATGATCTGTGAAGGTTTGTCCCTCACCGCCGCCATTCAGACTGTGCGCTCCCACAGAGGGATCTGCCCCAACTCTGGCTTCCTCCAGCAGCTTCGGGAGTTGGATCTCCAGTTAGGAAGGGGCACAGGCAGAGGAGCAGAGGCCTGCTAGTGCCAAGAAGCTTTGTCTCCTGGCACCAGCCCAAGAGATGCTGCCCTCACTGAAGAGTGCAAGGATGCTGTCAGAACTGCACTGTAGCTGCACGGAGAAACTTTGGGGAAAGGCTGAGCATGAGCAAACTGTTAGGCATGTATTTTTTGCATAAGCCCACTAATTGGAAAGAAAATGAAATAAAGAAGGATTCAAACTGGCAGTTTTGCTCACCTGGGCCTGTTTATTTAATTACCTGTTGGGCAGGGCATAGGGAGCAGTTGGGTTTTCATGTCGAACTAATAGGCAGCACAGTCAACTTGAAAAAATACTTTTTACTTGCTTATAATTGCATTTATTTGGCAAGAGGGAAAATGACTAAACTAGTAAAATAAAAAGAAAGCATAAGGCTTTTAAGCAAATCTTTAAAATTTCACATCCAGCTGGCTTAGGGTGAGACTGCAGGTTTTGCAAGCTGACGTGGTTCTTTCGTCTGACGTGGTGACACAAGTCAGGATCCAATTCAGACTGAGGACTCCCTCTGTTACAAGCCACGGAGGCTCTTGCCGGACCTTCACAAGTCCTTTTTACTTCAAATCTATGGCAAATACTCAGAACTTAAGGACTATTAAATCCTCAGGAGCCAACTCTGGAGCTCTCAAGCAGATGCTGCACCCTGGGGCCCCGTTGTTGACAGCCACTCTACTGGTCAGAGAGAGGAAGGTGTCCCCTTGCACACATGGAGCAAGGAGCATGCCCAGGGCACACTGCCCGCTGGCACACTGCAGAGCAGTACAGTGCCAGGGAGAAATGTCCTCCTCTTAGCTTGCAACTCGACGCTGGAAATCACATTCCCCAAATTTCCCTGTTTTAATGGAAAGTCAGAACCTAGTGTCATCATGTCAGAGCAAAAATGAGCAATGCCTCTAACAAATCCAAAGCAGCAGCTCTGCATTTCAATTACTCTTTTACGCCCAATTGGCCACATTTAATCTTGTGAAGAACTCGAAGCAGATATTTGCTTCAGTGCAATTACAGCCACATACAGAACATTGGCAAATGCAAACAATATAGAATTTCCACTTGACGGCAGATTAATTTGGTGTGATGTTTTCCCTCGAGAAGTCTTAAAGGCTCTCAGTTCTGAAAGTACCCTGCAGTTTGTATTTATAGCACCGTGGATGTTGAATAGAAAGAGGGAAGCATAAACTTCTTCTGAACTGAAGTTTCTTTTACCTCCATACATTAAAAATATTAACTGAACATAGCACACCTTCGCTGCATTTCTCATAATGCAATATGGAAACATGATTTCCCTGCAGAGTCTAGAGAGGAATTCAGGTGGTGTTTCTACTTTCATAAACATATTAAGTAAAGCATAGCAATGCTACAGACTAATTTCCTCTCAGGGAACAGAGGCACAGGTCTTCCCTCCAGAAAGGGTCCCATCCTTTGAGACTGGAGTAAGCAGTCAGAAGCGAGGTCATAGCTAATGATGGAAAAAATCAGTGAGGTTATAGTTTTCACAGGCCTCTTATTGCCTGCCACAGCAAGGAGATTAGATTTCAGTAAGCATGGTGACTGAACCACCCCTGGCACTTGGGTCTCTTCCACCTTGGTCTGTCTGGGGATTCTTTTTTATTGCAGACCATGCTGAAGCTGTTTTGTGAGTAGTATTTTTAGTTGCCTTACTAACCACTCCCTTCAAGCCTCTAAAACTCAACCCATGCCATTCCCTATATTAAAGCATAGGGGGGTGTATGAAACACAACAGTCCAAAATCTCTATGCATTGAGCCCATCAGGACAAGTCATAATTTCTAGTGAGTTGCCCATCTGGAAACAGATGTGGTTTGCAGGGAAGAACTTAAAGTGAACAACTTGTGAGATTGACTGAGCCTAAAGTTACCCCAGCTGAGGCCTGTTGGCCATTATGTGACTATTTTCTCCAGCCGGGGCAGGCCACAGATTTCCCTGCCATCCATGACTTGCAGCTGGGATCAATACATGTGTGTGGAGCTGCAGCATACCAGCTAAGCTAGGGCACTGGCAGAGCAGACCTTCTGGCTCTTGTCACCATTACAGGTGTATAGTAAAAGCTTCCTCTTCAACAGGGGAAAAAAACCCAACTAAACAATAAAAATAAGAGGTCAAAAACACTCAAAAAGACCCAAAGAGAATAATCCAATCCCCAGGACAAAAAAGTCCTTTTCCGAGGAGTGCCTAATTTGAGTGCTCTGCATTGCTGTGAAGCACAGACAGTGAGATGCAGGTCCCCCCCATCTCATTCCAGGTTCTCCACCCTTCATGAGATAATGTTCTTGACCCCACCATTAGCTCCCCTCTCCGTGAAGGCTGCAGCACCATTGAGTGGCCTGGCAGGGGCATAGGGGCAGGCTCTATATTGATGACAATTAAGCCCTAACCTCTGACTCACATGTCCTGCACACTGAGGCTTATTGCCCCTGTGCTTAGTTGAACAAAAGCCTCTTAAAATTGCAGCTGAAATCAAGGCAGAATGAAAACAATATTGAGGGTGGTTCCAGATATATCTTGTGGTATAATTTCAAGATCCAAAGTTTTAAACCACCACCTCAGCCAGAGAAATAAGGAATAACTTCCTTCCCCCACAGTCACCCTGACTATCTCAAGGTGTTTAGTCCTGGCTGCAGCTGTCCATTTCAGTGCTGCCAAGGTAGCTGAAAGGAGCCCAGCTCAACCCTGCAGGTTTGGTGCCTCTGTGGCACTTGCCCAGTGCCCTGGTTAAACATTTCCTGCCCAAGCCCCATCAGTTGGGGCCACAGGCAGGGTGGAAGCAATTGGAACAGCAAAAATGTTAATGGGCAGAGTGGAAGTGACACCACTACCATTTCCATGAACACCCTGAGTAAATGCTCAGGTTTATTTATGAACACCTGTCCATTCTGTCCATATGAAGAGAAATCTTGACCAGTGTGATGGAGTTGGTATACCTCCCTCACAAAAAAACCTGCCAGGAAGGATCAGTGCCTTGGCCCCTTTTGCAGACAAGATACCTGAAGTTTGCCTGAGCTGCAGCTCAGGATGTTTGGGGAAAAGCACAGGAGGATTACTCTTCAACCTCCAGAACTGGCACAAAAACATGAGAGGAGTGTTCTCACATGTGATATCTTGCCTTCGCTAGCTTTTTACTCTCAGACTTTCACCAGTGATACAGAGAATATTGCCATGGGCATGTCTGCACTATGTTATTTATCCTTTGGATTTGCACTTAGGGTTTTATTTGTAAAAGGAAAATGAGACCATAAATCTGCTGTGCAAGGAGCCAAGGGAAGAGAGGACAGAAATTTTCAACAAGTTGCATGCAAAGAGATGGTGCCAAGGACAGGTTTCCCATGGAAAGAAATACCAGCCAAGATATTGTCCAGGTACTCACCATGTGTAGTGGCAACAGCTAAGAGTGTCAGCCTTTTTCTCGTGGGTGCATTGATTCATTCCTCCTTGCACAGGTAGCTTTTGAGTTGCTGCAGCAAGGATGCTGCTCTCTGATGGGAACATCTTCATCCATAGCTTTTGCTTCCAGCACACACAGGACCACTCTTCAAATACAGAACCTTAAATAACCCCCATGCCTGTAAACAAAGGTGGAGGGAAGCAGTCTCGGGCAGATCTCGGTTCTGCATTACGCTGCCCTGTTCTAAGATAGCCCATGGCTCTGATTCTGCTTTAACCTTGTCACTGCCCAAGCCCAGGCAACATTCTCCTGCATAGCCCTGATGCCTAGACCAGATCTGCCCAGCTCCTGCCAGCCCCACCAGAATTGCAATGTACTGTCAAGCCCACATGCCAGACTTGATCCTCCTCCCATTGTCTTTTGTCCTGTATTTTTCTGATAACAAGGCTATGTGTTAGTGTGGAAAGGGGCTTCAAAACAGCTTGTGCTTTGCAAATTTACTTCATAGTCTAAGGTTCAAATAGTATGTGCAGCTCCTGAAGCCAAGTCAAACAGGAATCTAGGGCCTATGGGACTTTCAACATTTAAGTTTTCTTTAGGCTACAATTATTTTGCTTAGAAACTAGACCCTTGATCTGTTGCTGGAGGCTGCAGTTTAATAAAGTCAAACAGTTTGCTCTTTGCAATGTACTATTTGCAGTAAAAGTATCATTGAGTTACACTGCTCCCCCTCACCGCTGCCTCCTGGAACCTCGACTGTTTATATACAGAAAGCACTCTCAGGAAGCACTCCTAAAAATACCCAGCAATGTTAGCTGAGGATCTGGCACTGTCTCTCCTCCGCCTGCTTTTGCCTCCATAACATCATTCCATCATCTTGATGCTCAACAACCCCAGCTGTTCAAGCAAACTTTTCTCTGCTTCATTCTCTAAAAAATTGTCCTTTTTCTTCCTCCTCTGCCAGTAGCTATTCTCCATCCTGCCACAGAGCAGCTTCTTTGATATTGTCATATCATGTCTTATCTAGAGTTTTCTCATTTGATTACTAAATTGAAGTTCGTGACAACTTCCCCAAATCTTTGAGCTCTGCCCACATTTCAGACAAAAAGGTAGTGGCAAGTAAGGGTGATGATGGTATCTGGAAAAGAGTAACATCTTTTACTTTACTTTGTAAAGGGGCATACTGAATATTGCAAAACAAGATGCAGTATTCTCCAGAGATTAACTTTTGAAATCACTCTCAGTGAAGACAAAGGCATCTCCCAATGGAAATATCATTGCAAATAAAAATATTTTCACAATATTACAAATAGAAAATCTGCACAAGCAAGTCCAACCAGCTGATAAAAACATCAAATTCAAAAGCAAGACTGGGATTCAGCTCACACTTCTAATCTGGCTTTTGCTCAAGATGTGGGCAGAGCCTCCTCTCACACAAAATGTTACTTGTCAAGGAATAGGGTCCACCAATTGCTGCAGACTGGTCCTGCTTGTTGCCAGTCATCTTCATGACCACAAAGATCTTCCAGCACATTAAGCAGACATCCAGCACAGACTAAGTTCATAGCAGCTCAAAGGATCTTTGATGC